AGAGCAGCAGCAGTGGCTGCTGCAGCCACCAGGTCCCCTGCTGTCCCCTCCTGTGCCAGGACAGGGCTCTCCCACCGCTGCCCCAGCCCCACAGTTCCCCTGCGCGCCCCTGCAGCGCCAGCTGGGAGCTGGCACTTACCTGGGAGCAGGCAGCGTGCAAAACAAAGTCCCCACAGGTCCTCGGCAGCAGCTTAAGTACCAGCAGGGCGCGTGTGTGCGGCGGGCAGGGACCTGAAAAACCTGCCGCCAATCACTGCAGCTCCCGGGCCTGCCAGCCGCTCTCCGGGCTGGAAATTCAGGTTTGGCCTCCGCTCCTGGCAGGGCTCAGCGCCCAGCTCCACGCGCGCTCGGGCTCTCGGTGGCACCGGGAGCCGTCAGGGCTTGTCGCTGCTGTCCCGGTGGCAGAGCCAGGTGGCCAAGCTGCAGGCACGGGGGCGGGTTTCTTATCTCCTTCGTGCTGGGCAGGGGATTCGCTGGGGTTTTGCGGGGCTCTGGTGGGTGTTATTTTCCGTGCACCAAGCTCTGCAAACAGAGGTACCCTGGGTGTCAGGAAGAGGGACACTTCCTCCCTTGCCTTGTTTGTTACCCGCAGTGGAGAGAAAGTCTTTCATGTGGGCAGGACCTTTCGCCTCGGAGCCCAGCCCGGCCTCGTGCTGGAAGAGCTGGCAGTGCCACACTTCAGGCCAGGACATGTCACCGGAGTGACTCCCACAGTGCTGGGAGTCCGGCAGGCACAGCACAGACCTCCCATGCTCCATCCACTGCTTCCCACATCCTGAAATGCTCCAGGTGCCGCCCCTGCTCCTGCGAGAGGATCCCCGTGCTGCTGGAGGTCTCACTGCACCTCGCAGACAAGGTCCTGACCCCAGGCGGCATCCTCGGGAGAGCGAGCTGCATTAGATAGAATTAAAACGCAGGGCACATCCAGGGCTGTCCCAGAGTCTTTCCAGCATCTTCCATCCAGCCTCTGGCAGAGTTTTTCTCCTTTTCCTAATCAAGTGCGATTATATACATATACATATATATATACAGTGTTTCTCAGGAATTATCCTCCCCCCAAGAAAACCAATCCCAAAGACAGCAAAACCTACCCTTATCCTCTGAACAAACCAATGCCATCTTCTGCTTTGTCTTCCATTGGTCTTCCCCCTTTCTACTTTTTCCTTTCCCCTTTCCCCTTTCCCCTTTTTCCTTTCTTCTTTTTCCTTTCCCCTTTCTCCCTTTTCCCTTTTTCCTTTCCCCTTTTTCCTTTCCCCCTTTTCCTTTCCCCCTTTTCCTTTCCCCCTTTTCCTTTCCTTTCCTTTCCTTTCCTTTCCTTTCCTTCCCTTTCCTTTCCTTTCCTTTTTTCCTTTTCTTTCCTTTCCTTTCCTTTCCTTTCCTTTCCTTTCCTTTCCTTTCCTTTCCTTTCCTTTCCTTTCCTTTCCTTTCCTTTCCTTTCCTTTCCTTTCCTTTCCTTTCCCTTCCTTTTACTAACCTGAAAAATGTGGCTGAAAACACAGCTGTGCTGATATTTTTGGCTTCCATTCAGTTACAGAAGAGTTTCCTAGCAGGCCAGGGCTAACAGGATCATTCCTGCAGTTAGTCAGGCAAGATTTTGACTCGCAGGAATCACTATCTTTTGAGCACAAAGCTGGCCACGTAGCCGCAGTGGGTAAGAGAGCTCGGGAATGGCTGCATATGGACAGAGGCCACTCGGCCGCGCCGCAGTTTGATGGGGTTTTGGCTGGCTTCAGTGCGCAGGGCTCAGCCTGCCCTTCCTCAGCGGCAGAACTGGCCAAGGCCACGGAGAGACGAATCACTTGCAACTTCCAAAGCCGTTCCCACCTTTTCTCCATCCCTGGGTCACAGCCATGTGGATGGAAACCGCAGCGTTTTCTTGCTCTGCCAGTGCTTCTCCGCCAACGGTGTCATCTCATTGGTATTTCCATTCGCAATCCCTGCCTGGGGTAGAGCCCTCCTCCCTCCTCCTCCTGCAGCCACATTGTTTTGAGGTGACTCCAGCAGCAGGGAAGAGCTCCTAGCCAGGAGAGCCCTCGTGTGCGCAGCAGCGCGCGCGGGCAGAGCGTGCCCCGGCGCGCACAGCGAGCCAGCCGCCCAGCGCGCGCGGGAGCTGCCTGCCCTGCCCTGCCCTGCCCAGTGAAACTCCGGCTCCGCAGAGCGTGACAGCGGGAGAGGAGACGGGCATATCTGCTCTCCGCTCCTCGGATGGGAGAGGAAGAACAAGCACCTGCCAAAAATCCCCAAATCCAGAGGTTCAGACAGCCATGCATTTTTTACAGAGCAAGTCAGGGAGCAGGGAGACTGGAAAATATCTGCTGAAATCAGTCCTAGCCAGATCCTCCAGGCTAAAGCAGGCAGGTCTTGGAAATCCTGAGCCAAATAGCTGTATCCAGGCCAAGGGGGAGCTTTGTCCTGCTGGGATCCGGAGCAAAAGGCACTGGAGCAGCAGCGTCTCCTCAGAGATGAGCCTGGCTGCAAGGCCTATGTGCGACACTGCGCTGCAGGGCTAGGCCTGCCCTGGCTCTCAGCTGC